AATGCAATATTTCTGCTTCTTGGCAGAATGGGGTTGGACTGGATGTTGGCCCATGAGGTCTCTTCCAACTCTTTGATTCTATGATTCTATGATCCAAGCCTCCAACTTTTCCTACAAATGTTAATTGTTAGTTAAAATGTTGACTTTTTATTGCCTTATAAAATTAAATTCCATGTTAACTGTTCACCTGTGTAAATCCAACCCAGTTCCTGGTGATATTAGAGCACCTCCAGGAATTAGCTCAGGGAACAGAACAGTCATCAATAAGAATATAGTAACTAGAAGTCTTGGTAGACTGCAAGCTGAACATGGAGTCTCCTCCCCTGGAGGTTTTTAAGCAGAGGCTGCATGGCCATCTGTCGGAAGGGCTTGGATTGTGCCTCCCTGCCTGGCAGAAAGTGGGTTGGACTGGATGTCCTTTATTATCTATTTATCTATTTATTTATTTATTTATTTACAGCTTTTATATTCCGCCCTACTCCTCACCCCGCAGCGGATTACAGTGTACACATATATGGCAAACATTCAATGCCAATTTTTGACATACAAACATACACAGAGGCTATTTAACTTTTTCTGGCTGCCAGGGGAGCTGTCGCTTTCATCGTCCATCTGCGACGCTGATGAAGCACTTCCGCATTCCCCGCATGCTTCCCCGCTGAAATGCTTTGCTGGAGTCTTCTTTTTATGGCCTCGTAAATTAGTTAATTTAGCCTCCCCACACTTTAAGGTGGTACCTAATTTTCCTACTTGACAGATGCAACTGTCTTTCGGGTTGCAAAGGTCGACAACAGGCTACACACAATTGGTTGGAAACCCACTCCAACCCGGGCTGGCTTCGAACTCATGACCTTTTTGGTCAGAGTGATCTTAATGCAGCTGACACTCAGCCAGCTGCGCCACAATATGGGTCCCTTCCAACTCTGTGATTCTGTGGCTCTAGGTCCTGATCAGCAATGCGACTGAAGATGCGCGCCAGATGCGCCGGGTCCACATCGCCATGGAGCACCAGCTGAAGCATGAGTTGGCCATTCTGAACAATGTCACCGAGGACCTGCGGCTCAAGGACTGGGAGCACTCCATCGCCCTAAGGGACATCTCAGTGATACGAGGTAATGGGATTGCAGCAAACGTATTATAGGATCATCAGCATATATATGGTGATGTGAACTGGTTGAGCTCCATTGAAGGTACATCTGCAGGGCAGTGTTAATACAGTTAATACAGACTATGTGGATAAGATGCATATCATTCTTCTCCATGCTCCAGGAAAGCAATAATAATAATAATTATAATTGATGTATTGTCGAAGGCTTTCATGGCTGGAATCACTGGGTTGTTGTAGGTTTTTTTCGGGCTATATGGCCATGGTCTAGAGGCATTCTCTCCTGACGTTTCGCCTGCATCTATGGCAAGCATCCTCAGAGGTAGTGAGGTCCAAATTTCAAACAGACCTCCCAACCTCGGAGGATGATTGCCATAGATGCAGGCGAAACGTCAGGAGAGAATGCCTCTAGACCATGGCCATATAGCCCGATAAAACCTACAACAACCCATAATAATTGATGATGTTGATGTTGATGATAATGATTTCTTACCTGCCTCTCCTTGAAGCTCAAGACAGGACACAACACAGTTAGAAACACATTATTATAAAATTATATATATATATATATATATATATATATATATATATACACACATATATAATGGAGCCCCTGGTGGCGCAGTGGGTTAAAGCACTGAGCTGCTGAGCTTGTTGATCGAAAGGTCGCAGGTTCGATTCCAGGGAGCGGCGTGAGCTTCCGCTATCAGCCCTAGCTTCTGCCAACCTAGCAGTTCGAAAACATGCAAATGTGAGTAGATCAATAGGTACCGCTCCGGCGGGAAGGTAATGGTGCTCCATGCAGTCATGCCGGCCACATGACCTTGGAGGTGTCTATGGACAACGCCGGCTCTTCGGCTTAGAAATGGAGATGAGCACCACACCCCAGAGTCAGACATGACTGGACTTAATGTCAGGGGACTACCTTTACCTTATATATATATATATGAACAAATTTCTGTGAAATACATATATTATTACTTTGGAAGTTATTTTTGGAGTAAAAATGATTTATGCCAAAAATGTAAACAAACTACAAATCCCATGATTCCAAAGCATGGAGCCATGGCAGCATTCCCATCTACAGTGGAAATGCACCATTCGTCCAATGAAAATATGAAGCTAAAAAAAGGAAAAACATATATTTATACAGTGTTTTTAAAAATGCAAATAAATGATTCTCAATAATTCATGGCTTTCAAAAAGCTATTGAATAAATAAAACAGTTTGAAAGACATCTAAAGCAAATTTTAAATATAAATAAACAAAAGCACATCACCATGAGTATCTCCATACACACACACATACATAAACATACATCCACATACGAGTTTAAGTATCCAGTGATATCTGGGTTAGGGTATTTTTGTAATGAAAAATATTAAAATAGTTGGGTTCTTGTAGGTTTTTCCGGGCTATATGGCCATGTTCTGGAGGCATTTTCTCCTGACGTTTCGCCCGCATCTATGGCAAGCATCCTCGGAGGTTGTGAGGTCTGTTGGAAGTAGGAAAATGGGTTTATATATCTGTGGAATGACCAGGATGGGACAAAGAACTCTTGTCTGCTGGAGCTAGGTGTGAATGTTTCAACTGACCACCTTGATTAGCATTTAATGGCTTGAAAGTGCTTGGGGGGAATCTTTTGTTGAGAGTGATTTGATGTGCCTGACTGTTTACTCTCTGTTGTTTTGCTGTTGTAATTTTTAATTAAAATAGTTATTGTTTATTTTTGGATGCTTTGGTTATCAATGGTCCCATTTGAAATACACGTGGCTTTCCAGACATAGTACACACAGGGGTTTTCGGATGTGGGTGGACTACAACTCCCAGTCTCCAGGATCAATCCCACCCACCATTATTTAAAGTTGGACATGGTTTGGTCAAGATCTATTATTAGTGGAGTTCACAGTGGAGTTCTTTGGATGTCGGTGAACTACAAATCCCATCTTCCTCTCCCAATCCCCCCCACCCCAAGTATTTAAAGTTGGCCATGATGGATATGTGTGCCACTTTTGGTCCAGATTTGGCCTTGGTGGCACTCACAGTGCTCTGGATATGGGGTGAACTACAACTCCCATCATCTCAGGTAAATTTGCTTTCCTCCAACTTCGCCAGAGTTGGTCATAATGGGTATTTCTGCAAAGTTTGGTCAAGATCAATCATTGGTGGGGTTCTCTGTGGTCTTTGCATATAGGTGAATTACAACTCCCATCATCCCAGGTAAATTCGCTTCCCTCCAACTTCGCCAGAGTTGGTCATGATGGGTATTTCTGCTAAGTATGATCCAGATCCATCGTTAGTGGGGTTCTCAGTGCTCTTTGCATATAAGTGAACTACAACTCCCATCATCCTCTGTCATTGCCCCCCAAAATTCACCAGTCCTTAAAATTGGTTGGAGTGTGTGTGTCTGTGTGCCAAGTTTGGTCCAGATCCATTGCTGATGGGGTTCAGAGTGCTCTTTGATTATGGGTGAAGTGTAACTCCCCAACATTGTGTGTCAATTCCCCCCATATATTACCATTCATAGTCTTTGTTGTCTACCTTGTAGGGCCTCCTGGACCGAAAGGAGACCAAGGCAATGAAGGGATGGAGGGCGAACCTGGACTTCCAGGCTTACCTGGACTGCAAGGTAAGTGGATTGTTGTGGTGTGCAGGTACAACTGCACCAGGAGCTCCAATTTTGTTTGCTTTGCATTTAATATTTGTTATAGTCCTAAGTTTCAGGGACTCTGCAGATAGGTGGCTTCTTTTGGCTGCAATCATACGGCAAGCCACCTGTCAATTATAGTTAGGTTCCCTAGTCCTGCCCCCTTTTTGGGTTTTAGGGGGAATAGGAGCCATTTTGGTTCAGTCCACACAGAGAAGCCTTTCATGCCAGGACATAATACCAAGAGCTCCTGTAGAAAGCTTCGTCTTCTACAGCTTGGCCGGGAGATATACAGCCCTTACAGCTCCTTTGCTGAGGACTTCAGCCAGCCATCACCGAAACCTGAACTCCTTTTTCCCCTGGAAGTCTACAAAGCTCTGCTTGGTAAGGGTCACTCGCGGAAGCCAGAAGCAGTTGGTACCGGGTGCAGGGGCTCCACGCCAACAGAGGCAAAGACAGACTGCCCAGATTAGAAGTTAAGGATTTCCCCATTAGTTGAAGATAGTGCCTGTTCCCTGTGGATAAGATTGAGAGAGAGCCAATAGACTGTTAAGAAAGCCTTAAAGTACCTGTTTGTTTTCATTAATAAAGAACTTTGTTGAACCTTTAAGCAATCTAAAGACTCTGTTTTAAGGAAATCCAAGGGCCTTTAATCTGAGGCAGCCCCGGCGTCCCGTTGGGCACACAGAATTTATGTCCTGTCTACAGTCTTATGCACAAGACCAGCGTGCGCCAGCACATGTGGAAAGCAAGGATTGGGCAGCGTTGGCTCTGATGGGATGATGGAGACTGGAAACAGGCTTGGAAAGGGATATAGGCATCTTATGGACCACAAGCTGAACATGAGCCAAGAGTGTGATGCAGCAGCCCAAAAGGCCAATTCTAGGCTACATCCATAGGTGGAGAGAGTATAGATTGAGGGAATATAATAATAATAATAAAACTTTATTTATATACTGCTCCATCTCCCTGAGGGAAGCCCTAGTCCCACTTTATTCTGACCTCACCTGGAATAATATTGTGTCCAGTTCTGGGCACCACACTACACGAAGGATAAGGTGAAATACGTCCGGAGAAGAGTGACCAAAAGTATCAAAGATCTCGAAACTATGAATCCCTATGAAGAATGGCTTAACAGGCTGGAGATGTTGAGCTTGGAGAAGAGGAAGAGGGAGCAAGCTTGCTAGGATGCGGAGCAATGGCTTCAAACTACAGGAAAGGAGATTCCAGCTGAACATGAGGAAGAACTTCCTGACTGTGAGAGCCGTTCAGCAGTGGAACTCTCTGCCCCAGAGTGTGGTGGAGGCTCCTACTTTAAAGGCTTTGAAACAGAGGCTGGATGGCCATCTGTTGGGGGTGCTTTGAACGTGATTGTCCTGCTTCTTGGCAGAATGGGGTTGGACTGGATTGCCCATGAGGTCTCTTCCAGCTCTATGAGGTCGAGACAGGACATTGCAAAAGACTTTGCAAAACTGCAACTCCCTGGAGTCCATAGCATTGAGCCATGGCAGCGAAAGCCAAACTGCATTAACTCTACAGTGTGCAGAGGAACTATTAGTGCAAAATGTGTGCCTGAATATGCAATTTTGGAGCAACGAGACTCTTAAGATTCCAGGAAATCCTTTTCCTTCCTTTTCTTGAAAACGTTGTTTCTAAAAGGAAATTAAATCAAAGCAATGAAGGGGAAATTTCTCAATACATGGAGGCTTATTATATATATATGCTTCGAAAGTGTTTGGTGCGAAGGACAGAAGGACCATATGGAACCAGCTGTGCTTTGCCTTGGATGTCTTGCCAAACGACACCTCCCATGACTCCATAATATTGAGCCATAGCATAACATGGGAGGAGAGCAATGTCCAATCTCGATAAAATAGTGAAGAGGAGAGACATCACACTGGCAATGAAGATCTGCATAGAGAAAGCAATGGTATTCCCCATAGTAATCTATGGATGTGAGAGCTGGACCATAGGGAAGGCTGAGCTAAAGAGATGCTTTTGAACTGTGGTGTTGGAGGAAAGTTCTGAGAGTGCCTTGGACAGCAAGAAGATCCAACCAGTCCATCCTCCAGGAAATAAAGCCCGACTGCTCACTGGAGGGAAGGATACTAGAGACAAAGTTGAAGTACTTTGGCCACATCATGAGGAGACAGGAAAGCCTAGAGAAGATAATTATGCTGGGGAAAGTGGAAGGCAAAAGGAAGAGGGGCCGTACTTACTTACTTAGGCGATCCCTCGTTGGACGAGTAAGATGGTCTTCCATTATGGATTTCCTTGTGGGTCCGTATGTGGCTGTGGAGCCCTATTCTTGATCTGCATCTTCTCCGCAGTGAGGGCATTGGTTTCCAGGTGGAAGGCGGTCCCGGTCGGGGTTGGCTTGACGCGCCTTCCTCTTGGCACGTTTCTCTCTTTCGCCCTCCATTCGTGCCTCTTCAAATTCTGCAGCACTGCTGGTCACAGCTGACCTCCAGCTGGAGCGCTCAAGGGCCAGGGCTTCCCAGTTCTCAGTGTCTATGCCAGAGTTTTTAAGGTTGGCTTTGAGCCCATCTTTAAATCTCTTTTCCTGTCCACCAACGTTCCATTTTCCGTTCTTAAGTTCGGAGTAGAGCAACTGCTTTGGGAGACGGTGGTCAGGCATCTGGACAACGTGGCCGGCCCAGCGGAGTTGATGTTGGAGGACCATCGCTTCAATGCTGGTGGTCTTTGCTTCTTCCAGCACGCTGACGTTTGTCCGCTTGTCTTCCCAGGAGATTTGCAGGATTTTCCGGAGGCAGCGTTGATGGAATCGTTCCAGGAGTTGCATGTGACGTCTGTAGACAGTCCACGTCTCACAGGCATAGAGCAGGGTTGGGAGGACAATAGCTTTATAGACAAGCACCTTGGTCTCCCTACGGATGTCCCGGTCCTCAAACACTCTCTGCTTCATTCTGGAAAATGCTGCACTTGCAGAGCTCAGGCGGTGTGGTAGGGCCCACCAAGGGCAAGATGGATGGATGGCATCCTTGAAGTGACTGGATTGACCTTGAAGGAGCTGGGGGTGGTGACGGCCAACAGGGAGCTCTGGCGTGGGCTGGTCCATGAGGTCACGAAGAGTCAGAAACGACTGAACGAATGAACAACAACAACAACAACAACAACACCTTAATTAGTGGGTTGTTGTAGGTTTTTTCAGGCTATATGGCCATGTCCTAGAGGCATTCCCTCCTGACGTTTCACCTGCATCTATGGCAAGCATCCTCAGAGGTAGTGAGGTCTGTTGGAACTAGGAAAATTGGGTTTATATATCTGTGGAATGACCAGGGTGGGACAAAGAACTCTTGTCTGTTGGAGCTAGGTGTGAATGTTTCAACTGACCACCTTGTTTAGCATTAGACCACCCAGAGAAGCCATTGAAATCCACAAGCATGTGGACAATTTCAACAGAAAGGAGGAAACCATGAAAATGAACAAAATCTGGCTACCAGTATTAAAAAAAAACTCTAAAATTACAACAGCACAACAACAGAGAGGAAACAAACAAGGACATCTAATCACCTCTCAACAAAAGATTGCTCCAGGCACTGCCAGGCAATCAAATGCTAATCAAGGTGGTCAGTTGAAACATTCACACCTAGCTCCAGCAAGCAAGAGTCCTTTGTCCCACCCTGGTCATTCCACATTTGTAAAAACAGATATAAATATAAAATTATTGCAGCAAGCTGGGTAAAACTGCATTAAGAAATAAATGGCAGGAACTGGGATACAAACGGGATCTAATAGCTGTTGTCTATGGAAAAACCCAGGAGAAAAATCAATGCTGGATTTGGCTGGTGGAAAACCTTCCTGGCAGCTGGATATATATATTTGTTTCCAGATCTGTTCATCATTGTAGTCTATTGTTTAGATTGGGTGGCATTTCCTTTTTTAAAGGCAATTATAAGAGAGACTTTTCTAGTCCTGATTTTGCTATTGGCCACCCAAGGACAGTTATTTAATATTTCTTATTCGAGAATGATGCATATATGTCAGTAGGTTTTTAATAATTCTAGCTATTTATTTTTAATAGTTTCATGTTTAACCCTATCTTAGTGTTTGTATATTTTTTAGGTTTTGAATTGTGTATGCTATTGGTTTTGGTGTTGTTAGAGATGATGATAAGACCAATACCAATAATAATAATAATATTTGACTCACTGCCACACAGTTGGATCATCAAATGTCTAGATGTCATCCGGGTTTGTGAAAATATTAGCAAGTTCATTGAAAATGCAATGAAACAATGGAAAACAGAGTTGTTTATGGGCAACGAAAGCTATGGAATTGTTAACATCAAGAGAGGAATTTTCCAGGGCAACTCACTGTCACCGCTGTTGTCATCATTGCAATGATCCCACTGTCAGTAATTCTATAGAAAACCTAGGCTACCAAACGGCAAGAAATTCGCAAAATTTTTCCCACTTTCTGTACATAGATAATCTAAAGCTTTATGGAAAAATCAGAAACTGAAATCCAGTCACTGATCAACACAGTCAGAATCTTCAGCACTGACATCACTATGAAGTTTGGCCTAGGTAAATGCGCCACAGTGGCATATACCCTGCCACCATCTCCCCAAAGGAGACTCGGAGCGGCTTACATGAGGTCAAGCCCAGCGATACATTACAGCAACATAAAATATAAACAACAACATAACATCACAATAAAATAAATAAACCAATCAAGTAAAATAAAATAATTAAAGGTGTCACACTGTCAACCTCCGTTGTTTTGGATTTTGGAGCATTTTGGAAATATTAGGTTCTTGTGGGTTTTTTCGGGCTATAGGGCCATGTTCTAGAGGCATTTCTCCTGACGTTTCGCCTGCATCTATGGCAAGCATCCTCAGAGGTAGTGAGGTCTGTTGGAATTAGGACAATGGGTTTATATATCTGTGGAATGGCTGGGGTGGGGCAAAGAGCTCTTCTCGGCTGGAGCTAGGTGTGAATGTTTCAACTGACCACCTTCATTAGCATTTGAAGGCCTGGCTGAGCCTGGGAAAATCTTTTGTTGAGAGGTGTTAAGATGTGCCTGGTTGTTTCCTCTCTACTGTTTTGCTGTTGTAATTTTAGAGTTTTTTAATACTGGTAGCCAGATTTTGTTCATTTTCATGGTCACTGGAATTTCTACATGGAACACTTTGAAAAACAAGCCCTGGAAACAGCAACCAAAAAGCCCACGATATGGTTCAGATATGTGGATGACACTTTCACCATTTGGAGCCATGGAGAAGAAGAACTCAACAGGTTCCTGGAACATCTTAACAGCATCCACCCAAACATCCAATTCACCATGGAAAAAGAAAATGAAGGAAGACTGCCTTTTCTAGATGTCCTAGTCATCCGCAAACCAGATCAACAATTGGGTCACACCGTTTACAGAAAACCCACACACACAGATAGATATCTACATAAAAACTCCAACCATCACCCAAGTCAAAAAAGAAGCACCATTAAAGCCTTGGCAGACCGTGCAAAAAGAATCTGCGAAGCCCACCTCCTCCAAGATGAACTGAACCACCTCAACTGGGCTCTCCAGGCCAATGGATACTCCACCTCAGACATCAGAAGAGCTGCAAGACCAAGAACAAGCCACGAGAGTAAAGATGAAGATCCACCCAGAGGAAAAGTGTTCCTGCCATACATCAAGGGAACCACTGACCACATAGAGAAGCTGATGAGGAAACACAACATGCAAACAATCTACAAACCCACCAAGAAAATCCAACAAATGCTACGTTCAGCAAAGTACAAGAGGGATCCTCTCACCTCTGCAGGAGTCTACCGTATACCATGCAGCTGTGGACAAGTCTACATAGGGACCACCAAACGCAGCGCCCAGACACGCATCAAGGAACATGAAAGGCACTGCAGACTACTTCAACCAGAGAAGTCAGCCATAGCAGAGCACCTGATGAACCAGCCTGGACACAGCATATTATTTGAGAACACAGAAATGCTGGACCACTCTCACAACCACCATGTCAGACTACACAGAGAAGCCATTGAAATCCACAAGCATGTGGACAATTTCAACAGAAAGGAAGAGACCATGAAAATGAACAAAATCTGGCTACCAGTATTAAAAAACTCTAAAATTACAACAGCAAAACAGCAGAGAGGAGACAACCAGGCACATCTTAACACCTCTCAACAAAAGATTTTCCCAGGCTCAGCCAGGCCTTCAAATGCTAATGAAGGTGGTCAGTTGAAACATTCACACCCAGCTCCAGCAGAGAAGAGCTCTTTGCCCCACCCCAGCCATTCCACAGATATATAAACCCATTGTCCTAATTCCAACAGACCTCACTACCTCTGAGGATGCTTGCCATAGATGCAGGCGAAACGTCAGGAGAGAATGCCTCTAGAACATGGCCCTATCGCCCGAAGAAACCTACAACAATCCAGTGATTCCGGCCATGAAAGCCTTGATTAGTATTTGATGCCCTGGCAGTGCGTGGGGCAATCTTTTGTTGAGAGGTGATTTTTCCTAGTCCAACAAACCTCACTCCCTCTGAGGATGCTTGCCATAGATGCAGGCGAAACGTCAGGAGAAATGCCTCTAGAACATGGCCCTATAGCCCGAAAAAACCCACAAGAACCTAGTGATTCCAGCCATGAAAGCCTTCGACAATACATTTTGGAAATAATAATAATAATAATAATATCAGAATGCAAAGGTATTACACTCTTAGCCTCTCATGGGGACAGTTTGGCGCATTTGGGCTTCCCATCTAATCTGTCTGTCATTGTCATCAATTTCTGGATACTCCCAAAACGTGGGGTGTTTGAGGAGCAAATGTCTGTCTATGTCAGTGTTTCTCAACCTGGGGGTCGGGACCCCTGTGGGGGTCGCGAGGGGGTGTCAGAGGGGTCGCCAAAGACCATCAGAAAACATAGTATTTTTTGTTGGTCATGAGGGTTCTGTGTTGAAAGTTTGGTCCAATTCTATCGTTGGTGGGGTTCAGAATGCTATTTCATTGTGGGTGAACTATGAATCCCAACAACTACAACTCCTAAATGTCAAGATCTATTTTCTCCAAACTCTACCAGTGTTCACATTGGGGCATATTGAATATTTGTGCCAAGTTTGATCCAGATCCATCATTGCTTGAGTCCACAGTGTTCTCTGGATGTAGGTGAACTACAACTCCAAAAACTCAAGGTCAATGTCCACCAGACCTTCCCAGTATTTTCTCTTGGTCGTGGGAATTCTGTGTGCCATGTTTGATTCAATTCTATCATCCATGGAGTTCAGAAGGCTCTTTGACTTTAGGTGAACTATAAATCCCAGCAACTCCAGCATTACCAAATGACAAAATCAATCACCCTCCACCCCACCAGTATTCAAATTTGGGGTGTATCGGGTATTTGTGCCAAATTTGGTCCAGTGACTTAAAATGCAACCTGCATATCAGATATTTACATTACAATTCATAACAGTAGCAAAATCACAGTTATGAAGTAGCAACGAAAATAACGTTATGGTTGGGGCTCACCACAACCTGAGGACCTGTACTAAGGGGTCGTGGCATTAGGAAGGTTGAGAACCACTGGTCTATGTCCTCATATTCTTTCCACCTTCTGATTGCAGGCACCCCTGGGGAAAGAGGGCCCGTCGGACCCCGCGGAGCCAAAGGGGACAGAGGGGACCTGGGCCCCCGAGGCATGCCGGGCCCCCGAGGAGTCTCAGGTAACGTTGGGTTCTTCTTAGCCTTCTCAAACCAGTCTAAGGTGCTGCAATTCTGAAAGCAGTCCAGGAAATGAAGAAATGCATTGGGGATTTGAGCTGGATCTCGGTAGGAAATGAAGCCTCCCCTTGGGCTTGGGAACGGGCTCCAAATGGGATGGATTCCCTGATTAGTCTTCAAATTGATCCCGGCCTCTTGGCATCCGCTGCCCTTGTGTGCAATAAAGTAACCCAACTCAATAGGCAGGATGTGAGCTCATTCGCGAATATCTCCTTTTCCCTTGGCCAGGAATGGAAAGAAAGATAATAAATCCATTTTTGCCAAATTCTCAGCTGGATCTGATGAGTGCATCTAGACCAGGCATGGGCCAACTTCGGCCCTCCCTCCAGGCGTTTTGGACTTCAACTCCCACAATTCCTAACAGCCTATCGGCTGTTAGGAATTGTGGGAGTTGAAGTCCAAAACACCTGGAGGGAGGGCCGAAGTTGGCCCATGCCTGAGCTACACAGTGGAATTAATGCAGTTTGGGACCACGTTCTCTTCCCTAGGATGCTGGTCCTTTACCAAACTACAACTCCCTGGGTTCCACAGCATTGAGCCAGTGCAAAGTGGTGCCAAAACTGCATTAATTTGACAATGTGGATGCCCTACAAGTTGTAACTATGTGCCTTTGACTAAAAGTAAGGCAGACTCATTTAGTTATCTTTGATTCTAGGGAAATTGGCTTTATAATGGAATCTCAAGTCAGAAGAGATATCCAAAGACCATCCAGTCCATCCCCCTTTCTGTTAGATAGGAAGATACTATTAGATCCCTCCCAACAGATGGCCATCCAGCCTCTGCTTAGAAAGCTGCAAAGGCAGATGCACTGCTATACTCCCAGGCAGTATTTGGAAGGGACCCCAAAGGTCATCTAATCCATCTTCCTTCTATCAAGCAGGAAGGCACAACCAAAGCCCTCCTAACAGATGGCCATCCAGCGTCTGCTGAGAAACCTCCAAAGACAGAGACTCCACTGGACTTCAAGGCAGTCTATGTTCCGCTAGATTAGGCACCCCCAGAGGCCATCCAGTCCAGCTCCTTCTGTTATATGGGAAGGCACAATACAAGCCCTCCTGACAGATGGCCATCCAACCTCTGCTTGGACAGCGCCAAGACAGAGACTCCACTATGCAGTCTATATTCCATTAGATTTTAAGGGACCCCCAAATGCCATCCAGTCCATCCCCTTCTGCTATATAGGAAGGCACCATCCAAACCCTACCGACAGATGGCCATCCAACCTCTGCTTGGACAGCGCCAAGACAGAGACTCCACTATACAAGCCCTCCCAACAGATGGCCATCCAACCTCTGCTTTGACAGCTCCAAAGACAGTGACTCCTCTATGCAGTCTATATTCCTTTAGATTATAAGGGACCCCAAATGCCATCCAGTCCAGTCCCTTCTGTTATATAGGAAGGCACCATCCAAGCCCTACCGACAGATGGCCATCCAAACTCTGCTTGGACATCTCCAAAGACAGAGAGTCCACTATACAGTCTATATTCCAATAGATTTGGAAGGGACCCCCAGAGGCCATCCAGTCCAGCCCCTTTTGTTTTATAGCAAGGCACCATCCAAGCCCTCCCGACAGACAACCATCCAGCAGATATTTCAAAACATGGGTCTTTTCCAACTTTACGATTTTATGACCAGCCTTTGAATTGGAAAACATTTCCATTGCTGTTATTTATTTGTTTGCTGCCTTCTTCCCAGATGTGGGAAAGCTTCCAAAAACAACGAAAGCATGTATTGTCGAAGGCTTTCATGGCCGGGATCACTGGGTTGTTGTAGGTTTTTTCAGGCAATATGGCCATGTTCTAGAGGCATTCTCTCCTGACATTTCGCCTGCATCTATAGCAAGCGTCCTCAGAGGTAGTGAGGTCTGTTGGAACTAGGAAAATGGGTTTATATATCTGTGGAATGACCCGGGTGGGACAAAGAACTCTTGTCTGCTGGAGCTAGGTGTGAATGTTTCAACTGACCACCTTGATTAGCGTTTGGTGGCCTGGCAGTGCCTGGGGCTATCTTTCTTTGAGAGGTGATTAGATGTCCCTGCTTGTTTCCTTTCTGTTGTTTTGCTGTTGAAGTGAAATGAAAGCGTGCATTTGCAACCAGGAAGAGCACATAAAACGTACACAACAGCAATGTTTGCAAGGAATCCAATGCTTTTCTTAGGGTATAATATGGAAAAGGTTGGAAGGAAGTGTTTTGGGGAAGGCACGGGCTCTTTCTCCTCCTCTTCTTAAGCCTGGGAAAAGGAGGGCCATCTGTTTGGGCTCCGTTCCCAGCTCTTAAGGCCATATTCCCAGCATAATATTTCCTTAGCGGCCCCCGACGGAGCCATTACGGACTTGGAACAGCTGGGTGGATTCATTATATATGTGTGTATATATATGTGTGTGCGTGTAGATATATGTGTGTACATACATATCTATTTACTATGTAACCTGCCACTGCTCCATAATGTTCCAAAGACCCCATAAGAGGAGTTATAGTTTCCAATGGATCTTCTAACCATCACAGCATCATCTGCAAAAGCTCTCGATATAATACATTATATAATCTCTTTTTTTTCGTTGCCTTATTTCTCTGAGTCGTGCTTCCAAATTCAGATGCCTTCTCCGCATCCAAACAGCTTTAAAGCTGCTTACTTTTCGCTATGTTTTTCCAAATTTTCAGTAATATCCATTACATAGAATCACAGATTTGGAGGAGACCCAGGGGTCATTCAGTCCAACCCTCCTTTTTCTGCCAGAAAGAAAGACACAATCAAAGCCCTCCCGACAGATGGCCACCCAGCCTCCCTTTCAAATCCTAAAGATCATATCTTATACTGTTTTGCGATTGTATATGAATATATGTATTTGTGAATTTATATGTGTGTGTATGTTTATGTGTATATATGTATAGGTGTAAATATATGTATGTATATTTATATATGTATGAATATATGTGTTTATGTGTGTGTGAAAGTATGGATGTGTGTATATATGCATTTATGTGTGTATATATGTGAATGGATATATATGTTTGTGTGTATTTATTTATTTTATTTACTATATTTATATACAGCCCTTCTCAGCCCTTATATGTGTGAATATGTGTTTATATATATATATACATGTGTGAGACAATGTGTATATGTGTGAATATGAATGTGTATATATGTCTGTGTTTATGCATGTATATATATAAATGTGGCGTGAATATATGTTTATATGTATGTATATATATATATATAGGTATGTATACGTGTGTGCATATATATCTGTGTATGTATGTATGTTTATGTGTGTATGTGTGCATATATATGTTTGTGTGTGTATATATGTGTTTATGTGTGTGAATATATGTATATAAGTGTATATATGTTTATGTTTGTATATGTGTGTGAATATATATATGTGTGTGTGATATGTGTGAATATGAATGTGTTTATATTTGTGTATGTTACTATGATTGTGTGAGTATATATGCATATAAATGTGTGTGAATATGTTTATGTGTATATATATTTATGTATGAATATGAGTGTGCATATATATGTATGTATGTTGTATGTATGTATGTATATATATATATGTTTATGTGTGTATATATGTGTATGAATACATGTGTGTATATATGTGTTTACGCGTGAATATATGTGTATGAGTGTATATATATGTTTACGTTTGTATATGTGTGTGAATATATATATGTGTGTGTGTGTGTGCAATATGTGTGAATATGAATGTGTTTATATTTGTGTATGTATTTGTTACCATTGTTATGTGTGTGTGTATATATATATTTGTGTATGTATTTGTTACCATGGTTATGTGTGTGTATATATATGTATAAAATGTGTGTGAATACGTTTCTGTGTATATATATTTATGTACGTATATGTGTGAATATGAGTGTGTGCATATATGTGTTTATGTTTATGCATGTATATATATGTGTGTGGGTGTATATGGGGCAAGTGTTTGTGTGAGGGTGTATATATGTTAGTCCATATACCTTTTAATAATAGTCAACATAAAATAATATTGTTATCTTACAAATCATACATTTTTAAAAATGGAAAGAAAAGACTTTCAAGAGCTATGAGATATCTCCAACGAAGTGATGCGCGTCTCAAATGCGTGTCATCTATACCATCCCATCATTGTAGCTTTGAATATGTTCTTAATCAGCCTTTAAAGATTTTAATTGTTTACCTTTTAATACTGTTAATATTTAATTCTATTTTAATGTTTGTATATTTTTTAGTTTTTCAGTTGTATTGCCCTTTGGTCTTACAGTCAACCACTTTTGAGTCTCTGTTGCAGAGAGAGAAAGCAAGGTATAAATAAACATTGACATAGCAATAGATGTCATAATAATATTTTGGGTTTTTTTGCTTTTCAGGGTCAAAGGGAGAGAAAGGTGACAAAGGAGACCAAGGAGGAGAAACAGGTAAAGGTGGATTCACCAATTGAAAGCCCAGTTGGGTATTTTGTAAGGCTAAACATTAGTAGTCGTTGTTTTTCGGTTTTATGCATGGACCTATTCGAAAAGGCATAAGGATGTGTCTGAACTACAACTCCCATCATCCTGGGCCAAGGCCCCCCAAAACTTGCTAGTCCTTAAAGTTGGTTATGTTGGTGCTAAGTTTGGTCCAGATCTATTGTCAGGGGGGTTCACAGTGCACTTCACATATGGGTGAACTATAACTCCCATAGTTCTCTGACAGTGCCCCCAAAACCTCCCAGTCCTTAAAGTTGGTGATTGTGGTTTTGTGTGCCAAGTTTGGTTCAGATTCATTATTGGTGGGATTCACAGTACTCTCTGGATGTGGGTGAACTACAACTCCCATGGTCCCGAGTCAATGCTTCTCCAGTTGGTCATGTTGGTTATGTGTTCCAAGTCTGGTCAAGAATAATCACTGGTTAGGTTCACAGTGCACTTCGTATATGGATGAACTACAGCTCCCATCATCCTCTGTCAGTGCTTCCCACAACCTGCCAATCTTTAAAGTTGGTCAAGTTGGGTATGTGTGCCAAGTCTGGTCCAGATCCATCATTGGTTAGGTTCATAATGCACTTCACATATGGGTGAACTACAACTCCCATCATCCAATATCAGTGCCCCTCAAAACCACCAGTCCTAAAACTTGCTCATGCTGGGTCTGTGTGCCAAGTTTGGTCACAGTGCTCTTCACATATGGGTGAACTACAATTCCCATCATCCTCTGTCAGTGCTTCCCAAAACCTGCCAGTCCTTAAAGATGGTCAAGTTGGGTATACATGCCAAGTCTGGTCCAGACCTATCATTGGTTAGGTTCATAATGCACTTCACATATGGTTGAATTACAACTCCCATCATCCAATATCAGTGCCCCTCAAAACCACCAGTCCTAAAACTTGCGCATGCTGGGTCTGTGTGCCAAGTTTGGTCCACAGCCATTGTCAATGGGGTTCACAGTGCTCTTCACATATGGGTGAACTACAACTCCCATCATCCAATATATCCCCCCCCAAACCTGGGAGTCCTTAAAGTTGGTCATGTTGTATCTGTGTGCCAAGTCTGATCCAGAACCATTGTCAGTGGGGTTCACAGTGCACTTCACATATGGGTGAACTACAACTCCCATCATCCAATATTAATGGCCCCCAAACTTGCAGGTACTTAAAGTTGGTCATGTTGGGTCTGTGTGCCATGTTTGGTACAGATGCATAGTTGGTGGGATTCACAGTGCTTTTAAGATGTTGGTGAACTACAATTCCCATTGTCCTCTGTCAGTGCCCCCCAATACTTGCCAACTATGGAGGGAGAAGAAGAATCAGACGATGAGGGTTTGAAAGTGCCCACATTTCTAGAGAGACGAAAAAAGACAGAGCACAGACGGCGTTCTGCTAGGATAGCTGCTAAAAACGCTGAGCTAATTGGGAGACACCCTAGCACCTCCTGCGTGGGGAATTCAGGGCTATAAATCAGTAGCAGGAGCAGTCAGCTTTCGCTGGTAACAACGACCCTGATACTGAAGTTTTCACTCCAATGGAATCTGCTTTGTGTTTGCTAAGGACTTAGTTCATCGTCCGTTGTCTGATGGAAGACTGGTGTTTTTTTGGGACTTCGTAAGAGACTTTAATTTGTGTCTGGATTAAGACTTCCTTGCTTTCCTTCCTCCTCCGAAGATGAGGAATCCCTAACTATACCAGGCATCCTCAAACTGTGGTCCTCCAGCTGTTTGGGCCTCCAACTCCCAGAATTCCAGGCTGGCTAGGGCTTCTGGGAGTTGGAGGCCCAAACAGCTAGAGGGCCACAGTTTGAGGATGCCTGGTATATAGAGAGGAGGTGAACAGTTACATTGACTTACACAATGCCCTTTGAGAGAGATTCAAATGGTCTTTAGGTGTCCGTGTGGAAGATCTCCTTCCATAAGCTCATGAAGCAAAAACTCAAAGTGAACTGTCTTTCTGTGTAAACTCCTGCACAACTCAAGCCTAAAAATGTAACTGTTGCCAAAACTCCCAGGCTCAGCTAGTCTCCTTCGTGCTTTGTATTTTCAGTTAACACACCCACCAAATGATTTTTTCCTTGGCCTGACATCCTCTAACTATGATTCCATGACTCTGGCTGCCCATCGCAATGTTGCTTCATGTCCAGTGCGTAGCCTCCAAAGACTTCTAGATCCCTTTCATATGGATTGTTTACAAGCCAGGGGTCACCCATCCTATACTTTAATTTCTTATTGTGTAGTACTTTACATTTCTCCCTGGTTCAATGCTCAATTTTTTTGTGCATTACATCTTCATTGCATCCCAATCAGGAATGCATTAGGTGTGGATTTATTTTTTTGCAAAGGTGTTGGACTAGATGACCTTTGGGGTGCCTTCTGAAATCCAGGAACGGGGCAGCACCCCCCCCCCCTTCTGTCTTATCTAAAGCATGCTGCAAGCCTGACACTTTAGCCTCTGCCTATGGTTGAAATGAATGAAAAATGAGTTTGTTTCTTCTGCTAAGGAGGGTATATAAATCTTCCCCTTCCCAGGGACACATGGTCCCCATTAAGCCAGGCGATGATATCTTTGTGCAGCTGCAGCGAAGAAGGAGAGAGAGAGAGAGAGCCTGCTTGGCTTCAGGAGGCCTGTTTATTTCTTTTCTCGGTAGATATTCCTTTTTTTCGGGACAGGATGGATGGGGGAGGCAAGAGGCTCAGTAATAATAATAATAAACAAATACAGAGCAGAACAAAAGCAATCCAGATCTCTTGTGCAAAAGTAGAATTAGCAACACAAATACACACACACAACCTTGGCTTTGACCCTTAAGACTACATGAAGGATGATATGGGGGGGAATCTATACTATAGGATTACTTTTGTGGCATAATGTAAAATAAACTACATTCAGTTCAGCCCACCCGCTGCCTTGCCAGAGAAAGAAAATATGCCGCATAGGTGAACCATAAAGAACAAGTAGTTTACTCTTCTTAGTTCAGAACAACATATATAGAGTGTGAGCTGTTGCACCAACTCACATAATGTCCTTTTAAGAGAGATTTAAAATAGTATTTCTCTGTCCATATGGATAAACTCCTTCAGGAGCTCATGAAATGGGCTGCATAGCTCGAGCCTGAACAAAAATGCAACCATATCCAAAAGTCCCAGGCTCAGCCATCTCCCTGGGCATTGCCTGACCAATCAGCTTCATGCACCTTATTTTACAGTTGACACACACACATTAACTGATCTTGAATCAGGCATGTAGCCGGGGGGGGGGGGGCTTGAGGGGCTTCAGCCCCCCCCCCCCAAATTCTCATGGTGGTTCGCGAAAAGGCCTTACTGGTGCATTATTTAAACTGTTATGTTTATTCATATCATGATCTGATCACCATACTCAATATATCCCATATGCATGGGGGTATTGGGGTAATGATACAAAAGGTTTGCTAGGCTAGACCCTCTTTCACTCAGACTCAGCCCCCCCCCGAACCCCCCTGAAAATTTTTTAGCCCCCCTCCCCCAAAACGAAATCCTGGCTACGGGCCTGCCTTGGATGCTCCAACAGCTTTACATGACTGTAAACTTAGTTCCGAACTTAGTTCAGAACAACATATATACAATGTGATCAGTCATGGGTGTTCTGTGTGACAAGTTTGGTTCAATTCCATCGTTGGTGGAGTTCAGAATGCTCTTTGATTGTAGGTGAACTATAAATCCCAGCAACTACAACTCCCAAATGACAATATCAATTCCTCCTAACCCCACCAGTATTCAAATTTGCGTGTATGGAATATTTGTGCTAAATTTGGTCCAGTGAATGAAAATACATCCTGCGTATCAGATGTTACATTACGATTCATAACAGTACCAAAATTAGGTTCTTGTGGGTTTTTTTGGGCTATAGAGCCATGTTCTAGAGGCATTTCTCCTGACGTTTCGCCTGCATCTATGGCAAGCATCCTCAGAGGTATCCTCACTACCTCTGAGGATGCTTGCCATAGATGCAGGCGAAACGTCAGGAGAAATGCCTCTAGAACATGGCTCTATAGCCCGAAAAAACCCACAAGAACCTAGTGATTCCAGCCATGAAAGCCTTCGACAATACATAGTACCAAAATTAGTTATGAAGTCGCAACGAAAATAATGTTATGGTTGGGGGTAACCACAACATGAGTAACATGTTAAGGGATTGCGGCATTACAAAGGTTGAGAACCACTGGCATGGAGGCTGCACATTATATTTTTGTACAGAATGAAAAAATGTTTTTTCAATAATATTTTAATTTAATTTTGTGTTGTTGTATTTCCCAAATATGTTTGCAAAAAAAAAATATTTACAAAAAAAAGGTGGGAAAGGTTAGATTGCTTGTGGCTACAGCTCGTTGTTATCATCGTCTTGCCTTTAAGCCAAGGCTAGATGGTCGTCTGTTAGGAGTGCTTTGATGCTGTGTTCCTACCTGACAGAAAGGAGTTGGACTAGATGTCCTTTGGGATCCCTCCAGGATTCGATGATGCTAGGATTGCATGGCCTGTTGACAAGCTTGTTTTGCCCAAAGGACAGGGATTTCGGATGACTTCTCCTCCTCCTCCGCAACTGGAGGGCAATGGCTAACAGATGCCCGAAAGAGCTCATCTTGACCGCCTGTGGCCGCGGTGCCAGGGCCTCCCAAAAACTAAAAAGCCCCCAGAGCCCTCCCAGTTACGTCAGGCTCTCGCTTGCCAAGTCCTGCTGCTCCGGATCAGCTTTCAAGCTGGAAACCTTGCAAAAGTTAAGTGTTTTTTTTTAGGGTTTTCTTTTCAAAGTTCGGTCTGTTCCAAGCCAAGAACGGGGCGCATGTTATGTAAGGAAAACACGGGCCGTCGCTGGGTGTTCCGTGGTGGATGTAGGTCATGAAGTGTGTTTGTTTTAAAAATGTGGGCCGCTAAAGAATTGGGTTTCTTTCTTTTTGGGGTGATTTTAAAGACATACATATGCTTTGTCTTGTGCAATGGTGCAATGGCTCTCATGTCATTAAGAGGTGCCAGTAATGGGGCCGGACTAGATGGCCTCTGGAGGCCTCTTTCAACACTAGGGTTCCTCTAGGGCAGTGTTTCTCAACCTGCCTAATGCCGTGACCCCTTAAAATAATAATAATAATAATAATAATAATAATAATAATAATAATAATAATAATAATAATAGTCCTTTATTTATACCCCGCTAACATCTCCCGAAGGACTCGGTGCGGGGCTTACAAGAGGCCGAGGCCAAATACATCAGCAAAACAACAACATAACAAATACAACAATAAATAAACTCATAAAACAAAGCAATAAACATTTAACGATAGCAATAAACATTAAACAATAACACCACAACGCAATTAAAAACTATGGTCGGGCCAGAAGTAATGAGTAAAATTTTTAAAAATGCTGGACATGACCAGGTGAAATGGATGAGTTTGGCGATAGGTGGGGTGTGCAGACAGTCTTAAATCTCTGGTAAAGTGCACTGGGACATGATGCTTGGAGTTTCCTATTCTGGGAAGGCACACTGGAACAACCACGTCTTCAAGCTCTTCCTTAAGACTGCCAACGTTGGGGCTTGTCTGATGTCCTTGGGGAGAGAGTTCCAGAGTCGGGGGGCCACCACCGAGAAGGCCCTGTCCCTCGTCCCCACCAATCGCGTTTGGAACGCAGGTGGGATTGTGAGCAAGGCCTCTCCAGACGATCAAAGAATTCGTGTGGGTTCGTATGCAGAGATGCGGTCACGCAGGTAGGCGGGTCCCAAACCGTTTAGGGCTTTGCAGGTAAGCACCTGCACCTTGAATTGGGATCGGAAAATGAACGGCAACCAATGGAGCTCCTTAAACAGGAGGGTTGACCTCTCCCTGTAAGGAGCACCTGGCCGTCGCCCTTTGGACCAATTGGAATTTCCGGACCGTTTTCAAGGGCAGCCCCACGTAGAGTGCATTACAGTAGTCCAATCTGGAGGTGACTAAGGCATGGACCACCCTGGCCAGATCCGCCTTCACGAGGTACGGTTGCAGTTGGCGTACGAGTCTTAATTGTGCAAAGGCCCTTCCGGCCACTGCCGACGCCTGAGCTTCAAGCGTAAGTGATGAGTCCAGGAGGACACCCAAACATTTCCTCCTGTTGTGGTGACCCACAACCATAACATTATTTTCGTTGCTGCTTCATAACTGTAATTTTGCTACTGTTGTGAACTGTAATGGAAATATCCAATATGCAGGATGTATTTTCATTCACTGGACCAAATTTGACACAAATACCCAAAACACCCAAATTTGAATACTACTGAGATTGGGTGAGGGATTGATTATGTCATTTGGGAGTTGTAGTTGCTTTCATTTATAGTTCACCTACAATCAAAGAGCAGTCTGAACTGAACCAATGATACAACTGAACCAAACAGAACTCCTATGACCAACAGAAAATACCGGAAAGGCTTAGTGGGCATTGACCTTGAGTTTTGGAGTTGTAGTTCACCTACATCCAGAGAGCACTGGGGACTCAAACAATGATGGAACTGGACCAAACTTGGCAAGAATACTCAGTATGCCCAAATGTGAACACTGGTGGCATTTGGGGGAAAATAGACATTGACAGTTGGGAGTTGTAGTTGCTGGGATTTATAGTTCACTTACAATCAAAGAGCATTCTGAACCCTATCAATGATAGAATTGAACCAACCTTGGCACACAGAACTCCCATGACCAACAGAAAACACCGGAAGGATTTGGTTGGGCATTGACCTTGAGTTTTGGAGTTGTAGTTCGCCTACATCCAGAGAGCACTGTGGACTCAAACAATGATAGATCTGGACTAAACTTGGCACAAATACCCAGTATGCCCGAATGTGAACACAGTTGGAGTTAGACCTTGACATTTGGGAGTTGCAGTTGCTGGGATTTATAGTTTACCAACAATCAAAGAGCATTCATAGAATCATAGAATCATAGAATCAAAGAGTTGGAAGAGACCTCATGGGCCATCCAGTCCAACCTCATTCTGCCAAAAAACAGGAATATTGCATTCAAATCACCCCTGACAGATGGTCATCCAGCCTCTGTTTAAAAGCTTCCAAAGAAGGAGCCTCCACCATACTCTGGGGCAGAGAGTTCCACTGCTGAACGGCTCTCACAGTCAGGAAGTTCTTCCTCATGTTCAGATGGAATCTCCTCTCTTGTAGTTTGAAGCCATTGTTCCAGCGTCCTAGTCTCCAAGGAAGCAGAAAACAAGCTTGCTCCCTCCTCCCTGTGGCTTCCTCTCACATATTTATACATGGCTATCATATCTCCTCTCAGCCTTCTCTTCTTCAAGGCTAAACATGCCCAGCTCCTTAAGCCGCTCCTCATAGGGCTTGTTCTCCAGACCCTTGATCATTTTAGTCACCCTCCTCTGGACACATTCCAGCTTGTCAATATCTCCTTGAATTGTGGTGCCCAGAATTGGACACAATATTCCAGGTGTGGTCTAACCAAAGCGAATAGAGGGGTAGCATTACTTCCCTAGATCTAGACACTATGCTCCTATTGATGCAGGCCAAAATCCCATTGGCTTTTTTTGCCGCCACATCACATTGTTGGCTCATGTTTAACTTGTTGTCCACGAGGACTCCAAGAACACGTACTGCTCTCGAGCCAGGCGTCACCCATTCTACACCCAGGGAACATTGTGGACCCAAACAATGATGGGACAGGACTAAACTTGGCACGAATACTCCATATGCCCAAATGTGAACACTGGTGGAGTTTGGGGGAAATAGACCTAGACATTTGGGAGGTGTTGTTGCTGGGAATTATAGTTCACTTACAACCAAAGAGTCGACACTGATAGATTTGTTCCAATGACATCTGTAGATGGTCCATGTTGTTCGCAGGTGAACAACAAAGTTGGGAGGACAATATTTATTTATTTATTTATTTCTGCATTTGTTGACCGCCGCTCTCAGCCCTGGGGCGACTCGCGGCGGTGTACAACATATTAAAAAACAGTTTACAAAAAGCACACAATACGTCAGCATAACCATATTACACATTAATCTAAATTACACTAACTAATCCGTACCGTCACAAACATAGAATCATAACCAGTCTCATAATCCATATTCCGTTCCTGTTGTCATTACCCGTTAATGTAGCACTCAATTAAATGCCTTCTCGAATAGCCAGGTCTTTAGGCTCTTACGGAAAGCCATAAGGGAGGGCGCCTGTCTGATGTCAACAGGGAGGGTGTTCCACAGCCGGGGGGCCACCACCGAGAAGGCCCTCTCTCTCGTCCCCGCCAGACGTGCCTGTGAGGCAGGCGGGATCGAGAGAAGGGCCTCCCCAGATGATCTCAAGGCCCTCGTGGGCTCATAGGCCGAGATGCGGTCCGAAAGGTATTTTGGGCCGGAACCGTTTAGGGCTTTGTAGGATAACACCAGCACCTTAAATTGGGCCCGGTAGCAAATCGGCAGCCAGTGGAGCTGGGACAACAAGGGCGTTGTATGCTCCCTGCGTCCCGCTCCCGTTAGTAACATGGCTGCCGCGCGCTGGACTAGCTGAAGCTTCCGGGCCGTCTTCAAGGGCAGCCCCATGTAGAGAGCGTTGCAGTAGTCAAGACGGGATGTGACCAGAGCGTGTACCACCGTGGCCAAGTCAGACTTCCCAATAGCTTTATAAATAAGCATCTCGGGTTCCCTACTGATGTCCCGATCCTCAAACACTTAATTCGAAAAAATGCTGCACTCACAGAGCTCAGGTGGTGTTGTATTTTGGTGTTGATGTTGACTTTTTGTGGAGAGGTGGCTGCTAAGGTAGTGGAAATAGTCAACATTTTCTAGCATTACACCATCAAGCTTTATTGCCAACATCGCAGAGGGATTGGCTGGTGCCTTTTGCTGGAAGAGGAACACTCTGGTTTTCTCAGAGTTTACTGAGAGGTCAAGCTTTTCATAGGCTTCTGCGAAGAAGGTGTTTAGAGTGGCTTGCAGGCCTTCCTTTGAATGAGCACAGACTACATTATCAACATCATATTGGAGTTCTATCAGAGAAGTTGTTGTGACCTTACTTTTGGCTTTCAGTCTATTGAGGTTTAAATAGCTTGCCATCTTTCCAAGATGGGATTTCCATACTGATGGAAAACTTTCTGTCAACAAGGTATAATCAAAGCACTCCCAACAGATGGCCATTTAGTTTCAATTTGAAGGCGAGTGGATGATAACAATGAGCATACACTATGTTATCATCAGCATATTGGAGTTCTGTCACAGAGGTTGTTTTGAACTTACTTTTGGCTTTCAGTCTGTTGAGGTTAAATAATTTGCCATCTTTCCAAGATGGGATTTCTATACTGGTAGAAAACTTTTTGTCAACAAGGTATAATCAAAGCACTCCCAACAGATGGTCATTTAGCCTCAGTTTAAAGCCAAGTGAATGGTAACAATGAGCAGAGACTATGTTATCATCAGCATATTGGAGTTCTATCACAGAAGATGTTGTGACCTTACTTTTGACTTTCAGTCTGCCATCTTTCCAAGATGGGATTGCCATACTGGTGGGAAGCTTTCTGTCAACAAGGTGTAATCAAAGCACTCCCAACAGATGGTCATTTAGCCTCAATTTGAAGGCGAGTGGATGATAACAATGAGCATACACTATGTTATCATCAGCATATTGGAGTTCTTCCGTCACAGAAGTTGTTGTGACCTTACTTTTGAGTTTCAGTCTGCTGAGGTTAAATAGTTTGCCATCTTTCTATACTGGTGGAAAACTTTCTGTCAACAAAGCATACCCAACAGATGGCCATTTAGTTTCAGTTTCAAGTTGAGTGGATGATAACAATGAGCTGTGTTTTCTTGAGAGCTGCAGCACAGAGCAATCTCACTTTTTCCAAGCTGGAAAACAATAGAAATGTAATTGCACATCCCTTCCTTCTGGCTCAGTCCCCCGACCCCAATAAATCTAATTATGGTTTGTCTCCATAATTATGTGGGGCAGGTGGACGTTTTCACCATCCTCAAGGGGAAAGCTGCTGTTCCGGCAGGTGAAATCTCTTCTCTGGGCTTGGAAAAGCAAGAGCTTCATGACCAGCCAGGGACCGTTTTGCTTTCCTTTTGTTTTCCTTCGCAAACGAACCCAAACCATGGAGCTGTCAAGGCCGGCTGCTTTGTGTCTCGGAGCCATCCAAGTCGCTGGCCCCACTTAACCTGGAGGAGCCAAGCCTTTTGTTCTGAATGGGTTGCTGAAAACCATTTGGTCCCTGGCCCAGCGACGGAGATTGGCTTTGGGGGCAGGCAAAGGGAGGATTGTGCAAATGTTATCCTTGCATCTCCAAGTCCCGGAGGTTGGAAACAGATCTCTTAAATGGCATCTCTACCTGCCGCTCGCCCGTTGGAGAGAGTTATTTCTTGTTTTGCAACCCCATCATGGTTACGAGGGACTACCAAAGGCCACCCACTCTGCTCTCCCTTCTGCAAGGCAGGAATACACAAGGAAATTAGTATTATTATTTGAAACACAACAAGATGAGTCCACAGCAGACACTCTGCTTGCTGTTGAATTGGATCACACGTCGGACACTTCCCAAGTGTCTAGGACTGTGTGATGTATCGGTGATATTATTATTATTATTATTATTTACAGTATTTCTATTCCGCCCTTCTCACCCCACAGGGGACTCAGGGCGGATCACAATGAACATATACATGGCAAACATTCAATGCCATAGACACACAACATATATAGGCAGACACACAGAGGCTATTTGACTTTCCAGCTTCATGAGGGTATTCTGGCCACTGGGGGAGCTGTTGCTTCACCATCCACTTGTGACACTGATGGAGTACTTTCTCATTCTTTTGCACAATGCTGGAGAGTTTTATGGTGTCGTAAATTAGTTAAATTAGCCTCCCCGCTTCAACGTCCATTTGTGACACTGATGGAGTACTTCCTCATTCTTTGCATGCTTGCTGGAGCTTTTTGTGGTGGATCTGCGTGCATTATTCGCCGCTACATCAAACAGTCCTGGACACTTATTTATTTATTTACAGTATTTATATTCGGCCCTTCTCACCCCGCAGGGGACTCAGGGCGGATCACAATGCACATATACATGGCAAACATTCAGTGCCATAGACACACAACATATATAGACAGACACACAGAGGCTATTTGACTTTCCAGCTTCATGAGAGTATTCTGGCCACTAGGGGAGCTGTCGCTTCACCATCCATTTGTGACACTGATGGAGTACTTCCTCATTCTTTGCATGCTTGCTGGAGATTTTTGTGGTGGATCTGCATGAATTCTTCGCTGATACATCAAACAGTCCTGGACACTTATTTATTTATTTACAGTATTTGAATTGTGGGCACCACAATTCAAGAGAGATATTGACAAGCAGGAATGTGTCCAGAGGAGGGCGACTAAAACGATCAAGGGTCTGGAGAACAAGCCCTATGAGGAGCAGCTTAAGGAGCTGGGCATGTTTAGCCTGAAGAAGAGAAGGCTGAGAGGAGACATGATAGCCATGTATAAATATGTGAGAGGAAGCCACAGGGAAGAGGGAGCAAGCTTGTTTTCTGCTTCCCTGGAGACTAGGACGCAATGGGACAATGGCTTCAAACTACAAGAGAGGAGATTCCATCTGAACACGAGGAAGAACTTCCTGACTGTGAGAGCCGTTCAGCAGTGGAACTCTCTGCCCCGGAGTGCGGTGGAGGCTCCTTCTTTGGAAGCTTTTAAGCAGAGGCTGGATGGCCATCTGTCAGGGGTGATTTGAATGCAATATTCCTGCTTCTTGGCAGGGGGTTGGACTGGATGGCCCATGAGGTCTCTTCCAACTCTTTGATTCTATGATTCTATGAGAGGTGATTAGATGTCCCAGATTTGTTTCCCCTCTGTTGTTTTGCTGTCGTAATTTTAGAGGTTTTTTTAATACTGGTAGCCAGATTTTGTTCATTTTCATGGTTTCCTCCTTTCTGTTGAAATTGTCCGCATGCTTGTGGATTTCAGTGGCTTCGCTGTGTAGTCTGACATGGTGGTTGTTGGAGTGGTCCAGCATTTCTGTGTGGAAAACTATCAAGGACATCTAATCACCTCTCAACAAAAGATTGCTCCAGGCACAGTGATCCTGGTGATCTTTCCTATTACTGCTTTATTGCCCTGTCCTGAAAGCTTGGTCCCACAGCCAAGTGTTGACCATCCTTCTAAAGGACAGGAGGAGGGGGCCGACCTGATCTCACCAGGAAGGGAGTTCCATAGTTCCATAGAGTGGTTCAGCATTTCTGTGTTCTCCAATAAGATGCTGTGTCCAAGTTGGTTCCTCGGGTGCTCTGCTATGGCTGACTTCTCTGGTTCATCTAATCACCTCTCAACAAAAGATTGCCCCAGGCACTGCCAGGCCATAAAATGCTAATCAAGGTGGCCAGTTGAAACATTCACACCTAGCTCCAGCAGACAAGAGTTCTTTGTCCCTCCCTGGTCATTCCACAGATATATAAACCCCATTTTCCTAGTTTCCAACAGACCTCACTACCTCTGAGGATGCTTGTCATAGATGCAGGCGAAACGTCAGGAGAGAATGCCTCTAGAACATGGCCATATAGCCCGAAAAAACCTACAACAACCCAACCGTGTTACAGCATCAAAGCTTCCAGGAAATGGACAAGGATACCTTGGGGTGTATCTATGCTGCAGAATAAATCTCCTTTACGTGTTTTGCTTCAATGCTATGGATTTTATTAATATGTAATACTAATATTGTGCTTTGCTAATAATATATTATGTTGTATATGCATATAAAATTGATCATAATATAATGTAATACAATATAATACTACTACTAATAAATATAATAATTGTATATTATATATTACATGTAATATTACTAATAATATTGGTGTATAGTGGGGTTATTATTATTATTATTATTATTATTATTATTATTATTTTATCAGCTTCAGCATTGACCTTCCAAATTGGGCAGAGGAATCCTTTGCATCTATGCTTCAAAAACCGTAAAGCAAATGATGCAACGCAGAACCAAAAAACGGGCCCATTTTCCAAGGCGTCTTGAGCACTTGATTGTTTCCAGGCCTTGGAATCGCAGTGGCTTCCAAGCGTGTTATTTATGCACCCTGCGGAGGACGGAGCCCAAAGGAAAGCTAATTGGATCCATTCTGGGTTTACTTAAGGCCAAAGAGGTCAGGAATGGATAATGTTTCAAGGAGTTGCAGTATATACGAGGATTCAACTCAAGTCATCCATCTTCAGGATGGAAGAAGTGACATAACGATGCAATTAACTATGCATGGGTGTGGGAGACTATAGAGCAGGCATGGGCCAACTTCAGCCCTCCAGGTGTTTTGGACTTCAACTCCCACAATTCCTAACAGCCTACCGGCTGTTAGAAATTGTGGGAGTTGAAGTCCAAAACACCTGGAGGGCTGAAGTTGGCCCTTGCTTGCCCCAAAGGCACGCATAACCATTCCACCTGTGGTTTCTTTTCTAGGCTCCGCAGGAACCGATCCCCAGGAAGGCAGCGTCCGCCTCGTTGGAGGATCTGGACCCCACGAAGGACGGGTGGAAGTCCTCCACGACCGCGTCTGGGGCACCATCTGCGACGACGGCTGGGACACTAAAGACGGAAATGTCGTGTGCCGGATGCTGGGCTTCCGCGGGGCGGAGGAGGTTCACCGGATGGCTGCCTTTGGTCAAGGTAAAGCACCGAGAGATACAGGTGGTTGTAGACACCTAGAGGTGGTTCTCCTGGACCTCTCAGTGGCCTTCGATACCGTAGATCACGGTATCCTTCTGGGTCTTGGAGGGACTGTTCTGCAGAATGGGGGACAATGCCTGGCTCGAGAGCAGTACGTGTGGAAAAGATCTTGGAGTCCTCGTGGACAACAAGTTAAACATGAGCCAGGAATGTGATGTGGCGGCAAAAAAAGCCAATGGGATTTTGGCCTGCATCAAGAGGAGCCTAGTGTCTAGATCTAGGGAAGTCATGCTCCCCATGCTCTATTCCGTTTTGGTTAGACCACACCTGGAATATTGTGTCCAATTCTGGGCACCACAATTCAAGAGAGATATTGACAAGCTGGAATGTGTCCAGAGGAGGGCGACTAAAATGATAGAACAAGCCCTATGAGGAGTGGCTTAAGGAGCTGGGCATGTTTAGCCTGAAGAAGAGAAGGCTGAGAGGAGATATGATAGCCATGTATAAATATGTGAGAGGAAGCCACAGGGAGGAGGGAGCAAGCTTGTTTTCTGCTTCCTTGGAGACTAGGACGCAATGGAACAATGGCTTCAAACTACAAGAGAGGAGATTCCATCTGAACATCAGGAAGAACTTCCTGACTGTGAGAGCCGTTCAGCAGTGGAACTCTCTGCCCCAGAGTGTGGTGGAGGCTCCTTCTTTGGAAGCTTTGAAACAGAGGCTGGATGGCCATCTGTCAGGGGTGATTTGAATGCAATATTCCTGCTTCTTGGCAGAATGGGGTTGGACTGGATGGCCCATGAGGTCTCTTCCAACTCTTTGATTCTATGATTCTATGAGGGTCGTACCCAGAAGGTGTTGCTGGGGGACTCCTGCTCAGCCCCATAGCCATTGTCCTGTGGGGTTCCGCAGGGCTCAGTATTGTCCCCCATGTTGCTTAACTTCTACATGAAGCTGTTGGGTGAGATCAAGCTTTCGGGACAAGGCAATAAGCAGTAATAGGAAAGATCACAAGGATCACCGTGCCTGGAGCAATCTTTTGTTGAGAGGTGATTAGATGTCCCTGATAGTTTTCCACACAGAAATGCTGCGCCACTCCAACAACCCCCATGTCAGACTACACAGAGAAGCCATTGAAATCCACAAGCATGTGGACAATTTCAACAGAAAGGAGGAAACCATGAAAATGAACAAAATCTGGCTACCAGTATTAAAAAAACTCTAAAATTACAACAGCAAAACACAGAGGGAAAACAATCAGGGACATCTAATCACCTCTCAACAAAAGATTGCTCCAGGCACTGCCAGGCTATCAAATGCTAATCAAGGTGGTCAGTTGAAACATTCACACCTAGCTCCAGCAGACAAGAGTCCTTTGTCCCACCCTGGTCTTTCCACAGATATATATAAACCCATTTTCCTAGTTCCAACAGACCTCACTACCTCTGAGGATGCTTGCCATAGATGCAGGCGAAACGTCAGGAGAAAATGCCTCTAGAACATGGCCATACAGCCCGAAAAAACCTACAACAACTCAGCTAATCAAGGTGGTCAGTTAAAACATTCACACCTAGCTCCAGTAGGCAAGAGTCCTTTGTCTCACCCTGGTCATTCCACAGATAGATAAACCCATTTTCCTAGTTCCAACTGACCTCACTACCTCTGAGGATGCTTGCCATAGATGCAGGCGAAACGTCAGGAGAGAATGCCTCTAGAACATGGCCATATAGCCCTAAAAAACCTACATCCAGATGTTTCTGTTGGGGAACTAAGGCAGTAGTAATGCTCCAGGAGAGTTGCCGTTGGATGCATGCAGAGGTGGACTTCCTTCTCTAATGCATCTCACCTTTCTTTCTCTGCAGGGAAGGGGCGCATTTGGATGGACGACGTGGCTTGCAAAGGGACCGAAGAATTCCTCTTCCAGTGCAGCTTCTCCAGCTGGGGGAAGACAAACTGTGGCCATGCAGAGGATGCCGGCGTGAAGTGCATAAGTGAAGGGAGCGAGGGGCTAGCAGAGGACCTTCTTGGCCCATAAATCCATCCTCCAGACTTCCAAAGGCTAGCCATTCCTGGGAAGAAAGCTGGCCCTCTTGGCTTCCTTCTCGCCAGCCCCATGGCTATCCTCCAAAGGGTGCTAACTTCCCCTTTCGACCTCTCAGGACTTTCGATAGAAGAGCAGCGATGATGGGGAAAGGGTCAGGGGTCACGCTCCCGACTTTCCTACTTTGTGCAATTAACACTGCATTTTCAAAAAATCCTTTTATGGGTTTTGCCCCCAAAATATCACTTTATATATAACCCTTCTCCAAAAATTATCTGGAAAATGTAGATAGAAGTAGATGTCCAGTCACTTTGGAGACTTGTTTTGCCCAACTTCCAGTCAAAAAGCTTTGATAACATGGATCCAGAACACAGTATGCCCATGATATGGTTCAGTTATGTGGATGACACCTTCACCATTTCAAGTCGTGGAGGAGAAGAACTCAACAAGTTCCTTGAGCACCTCAACAGCATCTACCCAAACATCCAATTCACCATGGAAAAGGAAAATGAAGGGAAACTGCCATTTCTAGATGTCCTAGTCATCCAAAAACCCAACCAAAAACCCAACCAAAAACAACAACAATAATCAACTTTATTTATACTCCGTCACCATTTCCCCGATGGGGACTCTGAGTGGCTTACATGAGGCCAAGCCCAAACAACAATTACAATAAAGAAAAACTGAAAACGCAAACAATAAACAACAACAACATAGAATCATAGAATCATAGAGTTGGAAGAGACCTCATGGGCCATCCAGTCCAACCCTTTGCCAAGAAGCAGGAATATTGCATTCAAATCACCCCTGACAGATGGCCATCCAGCCTCTGTTTAAAAGCCTCCAAAGAAGGAGCCTCCACCACACTCTGGAGCAGAGAGTTCCACTGCTGAACAGCTCTCACAGACAGGAAGTTCTTCCTAATGTTCAGATAGAATCTCCTTTCTTGTAGTTTGAAGCCATTGTTCCATGCGTCCTAGTCTCCAAGGAAGCAGAAAACAAGCTTGCTTCCTCCTCCCTGTGGCTTCCCTCACATATTTATACATGGCTATCATGTCTCCTCTCAGCCTTCTCTTCTTCAGGCTAAACATGCCCAGCTCTTTAAGCCACTCTTCATAGGGCTTGTTCTCCAGACCCTTGATCATTGATCATGGAGAGGAAGAACTCAGCAAGTTCCTGGACCACCCAAACATCCAATGCACCATGGAGAAAGAAAATGAAGGGAAACTGTCATTTCTAGATGTCCTAGTCATCCGCAAACCCAACCAACAATTGGGCCACACCGTTTACAGAAAACCTACACACATGGATAGGTGCCAACATAAAAACTCCAACTGTCACCAAAACTTACACACATAGATAGAGATCTACCTAAAAACTCCAGCCATCATCCAAATAAAAAAAGAAGCCCCATCAAAGCCTTGGCAGAGTGTGCGAAAAGAATCTGCAAAGCCCACCTCCTCCAAGATGAACTGAACCACCTCAACTGGGCTCTCCAGGCCAATGGAGACTCCACCTCAGGCATCAGAAGAGCCGCAAGACCACCGAGAACAAGCCATGGGAGTCAAGACAAAGACCCATCCAGAGGGAAAGTGTTCTTGCCATACATCAAGGGAACCACTGACTGCATTGGGAAGCTGATGAAGAAACACAACATACAAACTATCTATAGACCCACCAAGAAAATGCTACGTTCAGCAAAGGACAAGAGGGATCCTCTCACTTCTGCAGGAGTCTAGCGGATACCATGCAGCTGTGGACAAGTCTACATAGGAACCACCAAACGCAGCATTGCCCAAACACGAATCAAGGAAAATGAAAGGCGCTGAAGACTACTTCAGCCAGAGAAGTCAGCCATAGCAGAGCACCTGATGAACCAGCCTGGACACAGCATACTATTTGAGAACACAGAAATGCTGGACCACACCAACAACCACCATGTCAGACTACACAGAGATGCCATTGAAATCCACAAGCATGTGGACAATTTCAACAGAAAGGAAGAGACCATGAAAATGAACAAAATCTGGCTACCAATATTTAAAAAACTCTAAAATTATAACAATAAATAAAGAGCAACACTAAAAACAAAAAACCAGGGGAATTCCAGACAGGAAACAATCAGGGCCAGCTACTACCTCCCAACTAAGGAGTCCCTCAGGCAGGAAGCTCCAAGGCCATTCAGTGCTAATCAAGGTGGACAACTGCAACATTCACACCTGACTCACACAGACAAGAGTTCTCTCTCCCACCTTGGACATCATTCCACAGATATATAAACCTCCCTTGCTTAGTTTCCAACAGACCCCACAACCTCTGAGGATGCCTGCAAAACGTCAGGAGATAATGCTTCTGGAACATAGAATCATATAATCTTAGACTTGGAAGTTGGGTTATCCAGTCCAACCCCATTCTGCCAAGCACCCCCGACAGATGGCCATGCAGCCTCTGTTTAAAAGCCTCCAAACAGGGAGCCTCCACCACACTCCTGTTTTTGTTTACACTAAGTTGTTATTGTATGTAAATAAAATCCTTACAAAAAATATAAAAAAATAATAATAAAAGCCTCCAAAGAAGGAGCTTCTACCACACTCTGGGGCAGAGAGTTCCCCCACTTAACAGCTCTCACAGTCAGGAAGTTCTTCCTCATGTTCAGGTGGAATCTCCTCTCTTGTAGTTTGAAACCATTGTTCCATTGCGTCCTAGTCTCCAGGGAAGCAGAAAACAAGCTTGCTCCCTCTTCCCTATGACTTCCTCTCACATACTTATACATGGCTATCATGTCTCCTCTCAGTCTTCTCTTTTGCAAGCTAAACATGCCCAGGTCTTTCAGCCGCTCCTCATAGGGCTTGTTCTCAAGACACTTGATCCTTTGAGTCTCCCTCTTTCTCTGGACACATTCCAGCTTGTCAACATCTCCCTTCAATTGTGGTGCCCAGAACTGGACACAGTATTCCAGGTGTGGTCTAACCAAGGCAGAATAGAAGTGTAAGACACCCCGGAAAACTCAGAGCAACATAGGACAATTCGCCTGGTCACTCTGGAAACCTGTTTTGCCCAAATATCATCCAAGAAAAAAGGAACCCTGAAAAAATATGGATACAAAAACTCAGAAGTAAATGTCCGCTGACTTCAGAGACGCGTTTTGCCCAACTTCCATCCAAAGAGCTTTGATAATGTGAATCCAAAATCCCAAGTGCCTGGTCATTGTGGAGACCTGTTTTTGCTGATCTTTCATACAAAAAGCTTGGGAAATACATATTCCGAAAACAGAACTAGACATCCTGCCACTTTGGAGACCTGTTTTTGCCCGACTTGCATGACATTACCCTGCAAAATATGGATCCAAAACCCCAGAAGTAGATGTCTGCTCACTTCAGAGGCCTTTCTTTTTTGTTGAACTCCCCTCCCAAAGCTTGACTCAATCTTGAGTTCAGATCATGAGCTGGACTTGTGATCTCAGTCATCCACAAGCAGCCCACAAAATGGTCCAAAAAAGTGCTCCGAATGAAGCATTGTTGAGTTTCTGAAGGTCTTGAAAAAAGAAGGCTCGTCTCTAGCATCCTATCATTGATGCTCCCCATAATTTGGAGCGCATGCCCCAATGTGTTGTGCCTTAAAAACAGGGCCAATCAGTCAAACCTTCCTTTTTCTATGTAGGAAGACACCATCCAAGCCCTCCCGACAGATGGCCATGTCAACAGACTCTGTTTCAAACCTTCTCCAGAAAAGGAGGTCCTTCCCCATCCAGTGCTCTTTTTTCGTTGCTTGCAAACCAAAGCAAAAGGACAAAGTCAAGGTCTTTGCCTAACCCAATTGACTTTGAACGCTAGACCATACCGACTCTGTTAAGGCGAGCCATGTATGACGCAGCAGCCGAAGCCGGCACCGCAGTTCCCCGGGAAGCGTGTGCATGCCTGGGGGGCACCCCACTTTGTTTGCTTACCAAGCTGCTGATTGTTGCTTTTTTAAAAAAATAAATAAATATGATGTTTTGTGCTATTCTGGAACCGTTGATGTTGCTCTCTGATCTGTGATGAGCTTCAGGGAATAGGATTACATTTCCTGGGGTTAAGGCCACAGGACCTACCTTTGGATTGTTGTATGTTTTCCAGGCTGTCTGGCCATGTTCCAGAAGCATTCTCTTCTGACATTTCACCTGCATCTATGGCAGTGTTTCTCAACCTTCCTAATGCCGTGACTCCTTAATACTATTCATGTTCTGGTGACCTCCAACCATAACATTATTTTTGTTGCTACTTCATAACTGTAGTTTTGCTACTGTGATGAATCATAATGCAAATATCTGATATGCAGGGTGTATTTTCATTCACTGGACTAAATGTATCACAAATACACGATACGCCAAAATTTGAATACTGGTGGGGTGGGGGTGGGGTTTGAGTTTGTAATTTGGGAATTGAAGTTGCTGGGATTTATAGTTCACCTATAATCAAAGAGCATTCTGAACTCCACCAACAATGGCACACAGAACTCCCATGACCAACAGAAAATGCTGGAAAGGTTTGGTGGGCACTGACCTTGATTTTTGGAGCTGTAGTTCACCTACATTCAGAGAGCCCTGTGCATGCAAACAATGATGGATCTGGACAGACTTGGCATGAATACTCAATATGCCCAAATGTGAACCTTGGTGGAGTTCGGGGAAAATAGACCTTGACATTTCGGAGTTGTAGTTGCTGGGATTTATAGCTAACCAAAGAGCATTCTGAACCCTACCAGTGACAGAATTGGTCAAAATTCCCATACAGAACCCCCACGACCAACAGAAAATACTTTTTGGCGACCCCTCTGACACCCCTTTGCGACCCACCCAGAGGTCCCGACCCCCAGGATGAGAAACACAGCACTTGGTGGGAACGAGAGACAGGGCCTTCTTGGTGGTGGCCCCTTGGCTGTGGAACTCCCTCCCTCATGAGATCAGATCTGCCCCCTCCCTCATGACCTTCTGGAAGAAGCTCAAACCCTGGTTAAGGGATCAAGCATCCCCAGAAGTTGTGAGGTCTGCCCTGTCACAAACAAGACTGGCGGGGGCGAGGGACAGGGCCTTCTCGGTGGTGGCCCCCCACCTGTGGAATTCACTCCCCGGGGAAATTAGATCGTCGTCATCCCTCCTCTCTTTTAGAAGGAAATTAAAAACATGGATATGGGACCAGGGCTTTGGGTAATCTGGCAGACTGACAAGGACAATGACGACAAGAGCTTTGGAATGGATTATGATAAGTTGAATGGACTCACTAATTACAGATCTTGGTGAAACGATGGCCACCAGCCTGGCTTCTTTTCTATTAGATTTTATTCACACCTAACTCCAGCAGACAAGAGTCCTTTGTCCCACCCTGGTCATTGCATAGATATATAAACCCTTTTTCCTAGTTCCAACAGACCTCGCAACTTCTGAAGATGCTTGCCATAGATGCAGGCGAAATGTCAGGAGAGAATGCCTCTAGACCATGGCCATATAGCCCGAAAAAACCTACAACAACCCTGTAATTCATGCAGTTTAATTGCCCTTTAATTGTTTGTTGTTGTTGTTCA